TATATATATAAAGAAGGGACAGGGGTGAGACACGTTTTTGCGTTTCTTATCCCCATGTTAAAAATAAGCAGAAAACTAAGCTGATTTAACATTCTATTTTTTTTCCAAACAACAAGAATACTTGCAACCGGTGTCTTTACAATCAAACAAACAAGTTTGGAATTTAACATACTTGCTTTATAGCTATTTTCCTGAATAACAGACTGTATAATTGTCCTGCAATCTGATCACTCTTCCTTTCACCCCAACCCCCACCTAGATCAACCTGAACTGACCTGACCATCAGTCATTTTAGTATAGAGGCGCCAGCCATCCATGCCTAGGTGCTTTTTAGCCTCTTTCTCCTGTCTGTCGATTTATTGTTTTGTTTTTTTTTCAATTTGGTTCCCCTACCCCCAATTCCCATCTCTCAGAGACAAAGGCAGCGTTGACGACCTGAATGACGTGGCATACGACGAGACCTGCGAGAAGCCGCCACTTATAGCCGGGGGCTACGGAGAGCTCGGAGGTGGGGTGGGCAGCAGCGGTGGCTACTACTGGCCCGCCGCCTCAGCGCAAGCCGCCATTACCTCCATGGCCATGATGGTATATAAAGACCCTGCCCTCACCTACGGCCCATTTCTATCGGCTGCCCACGCACACAGCGCTGATGCCTACACGGCGTCGTCTTTAGGAGTGGCCTTGCCCCTTCTTTCCGCGGCAGGGAGCAGCAATGGAGCACTGATAAACCCTGACGGGGCGGGGCCTAGTGGCAGTTATCAAGGGGTGTCTCCTTTATCCCCTGCGTCACTTCCGGGTGCGTCACTTCCTGGGTCGTCATTTCCGGGCGCAATGGCACAAGGACCGATAAGTAGCGGTGATGGTTCTAGTGGCGGAGGAGTTATCGCCCCGTGTGCATCGTCACCCACTAATCTCATCGGCGCTCAGACATCATCTGGGAGTTCAGTACCCCAGGGTGAGACGGCCGTTTTGCCGACGACATCTACCACCACACTGCAGCAGCAAAACTTGCATTCCGATCCTCAGAGTTGCTCACCTTCGGGTGCCGGCGACTCGGCTCCCCACACGCTCACACCAAAGTCTTCGGCGCCAGACCCACAGAGGATTTTCCCCTCAGACTACTTAATGGCGTACCAGCGAAGCCAAAGCTCTGGTACCTCTGCCAACGCTGGCATCAGCAACCTACCAAAACCCACGGCATTCATGATGCTCAGGACGTTAGAATTGCAAGAAACTATCTAAAGCTCCTTCACTTCGTGGATGATGGCTTCGGCTTTTGTGTGTGTGTGTGTGTGTG